GGCCCCAATGTCAATAAATCACCAGGTCCCATAGTTAATAAACCACCAGGCCCCAATGTCAATAAACTACCTTACCCCAATGTCAATAAACCACCAGGCCCCAATGGCAATAAACCACCAGACCCCAATGGCAATAAACAACCAGTTCCCAACTGCAGTAAACCACCTGGTCACAATGGCAATAAACCTCCAGGCACCAATAACATTGAACCTCCAGGCCCCAATGGCAATAAACCTCCAGGCCCCAATAGCAATAAACCTTCAGGCCCCAATGTCAATAAACCACCAGTTCACAATGCAATAAACTACCAGACCCCAATGGCAATAAACCACCAGCCCACAATGATAATAAACCACCAGGGCCCAATGGCAATAAACCACCAGTTCCTAACAGCAGTAAACCTCCGGGCCCCAATAACATTAAACCGCCAGGCCCCAATGGCAATAAACCACCAGGCCCCAATGGCAATAAACCACCAGACCCCAATGGCAATAAACCACCAGTTCCCAACAGCAGTAAACCATCTGGTCACAATGGCAATAAACCTCCAGGCTCCAATAACATTGAACCTCCAGGCCCCAATGGCAATAAACCACCAGGCCCCAATGGCAATAAACCTTCAGGCCCCAATGTCAATAAACCACCAGTTCACAATGCAATAAACTTCCAGGTCCCAATGGCAATAAACCACCAGGCCCCAATGGCAATAAACCACTAGTTCCCAATGACAATAAACCACCAGCCCACAATGACAATAAACCACCAGGCCCCAATGTCAATAAACCACCAGACCCCAATGGCAATAAACCACCAGCCCACAATGACAATAAACCACCAGGGCCCAATATCAATAAATTACTAGGTCCCAATGTCAATAAACCACCAGGCCCCAATGTCAATAAACTACCAGTTCCCCATGTCAATGAACCACCAGGCCCCAATGTCAATAAACCACCAGGCCCCAATGGCAATAAACCACCAGGCCCCAATGTCAATAAACCACCAGGCCCCAATGGCAATAAACTACCAGTTCCCCATGTCAATAAACAACCAGGCCCCAATGGTAATAAACCACCTGATAGTTTTTTGCCATTGTGGACTGGTAGGTTTTTGCCAAAATACAAAATGCTCATTGAATGGAAATAAACCATTAAATATATGGTATACACAGTTTTTATATATCAAACGTTTCAATTACTGTCGATTAATTTCATGGAAAAAATGGAAGGAGAAGGGGTGGTATTGGAATTGAGGGTATCCGGAAATTTTAGGGGTGGCTTGGGGAAATGTCAGAGAAGGAGAGTTATTAGGGGGTGGGGGGCTGTAGATGGAGGTATGGTGTGGACAGTTGAAGGGGATGGGGTTTTAGAAAGTTGTAAGGTATGGACTATTAATGGGTAGGGGGGGGGGGGGAGGTTGTAGGAGGAGAAAGATCGTTGGACAGCAGGTGTCGGTGATGGGAGACGTTGGAGGGAGACCGAAGTAAAAGGGTTTGAAGGGGACTCTCTTAATTTGAGAGGTACATATTGTACCTCTTTGATTGGCTTCGGATTATAGTACTCCAAAGACTTATCATGGGTCGCTGCCATTCGTCTGGATGATTTGAAATTTTTGACGACAATTGGTTTAAAAAATTTACATAATTAGTTTCAGTGGTCAAATCAAATTGAATTGAATTCCCTCCCTTGAACTAGAACTTTACTATTTAAATTAAAAAGTTCCATTATCATTTTGAAATAAAATTCGATAGTAAGTAGAAATATTACGATTGTGGAAAGATATCAGCAATGAGATTTAAATAGAATAATAAAATAATGTTTTATTATAAAATAACCACTAAGTGAAATAGTAGTATACCCTCCCCAGCACGAATCAATAAATAAGATAATATATACTCTGAACAGTGTTTTCCAAGTGGTCGACCTACATGACAGATTCGGCATTGAACATCTCGAAAGCACTGATAATGGCATTAACAGGAGTTGGATCCTGACGCACTAACCCTGTATAGCCCCTACTTTTTATGTTAACTGAACTAGAACTTCCTCCCCCTAAAATGTTTTTTTTTTCAATACGATTGTTTTATTGTTGAGTGATCAAGGGTCAGCAAAGTAGCCGACATCAATTTTTTAACACCCTTTCAATTTAAAAAGTGCAGGAACAACTTTTTTTAATAAACATTTAATTGTAGTCTGAGGCGGGTTGCGGTTATTCTTTACTGATGTGGCTATATTTAGATGTTTAGAGAAACCCGTTTTCTCAGCCAATCAAAACACAGAAGCTGCAGACGACAAGAAAAAAAAATGGCGGTGCGCATGAAAAAATGTGGCCGGAAGAAAAATGAAAGAAAACACTAATTTACGAATATATTTGATAAAAATCTTTCTGTAGGAACGAAGCAGGTAACTTGTTTTATTAATTTCATGTGTTGTCACTCATAGTTTAGGGCTGAATTGTTAGGAAACGGCGTTTTTCCATTTTTGTACCGTAGTCTCGATTTACAAGTCCAATGAGAAAAGGCTGAAGTATCCAGGTTTGTTTACAAAATAAAGGTCTACTTTCAGTTTGTGTGCGTCTCATTATATATTGACAGAACAATATGAGCTGTCCTGCCATCAGGATAAGTTAAATATTCTAAATGAATGATGAATTACACTTCTTTCAGCTTCAAGAAAAGATTTCTGAATCAAGCTGTCAGCCTACTGTTATAGTTGTAAGATATGATAAAGTTAAAAACAGTTATAGTATTAGTGATATGTTCATGTCATCAACATTATTGGTAAGTTAACCTCTATTTCTAAATACTATTAACTGAATGATATCTGCTACTATTTGTTGAAATGACCGAGGGCTTGAAGTCTAGTGTTTTTTGACACTTTACAATGGCAGTGTTTTGTCTTGTGACCTAAAGATTTACAATATTGGATCATGCAGAAATGGTCTACCCTCTTCAAAAATAATTTGTACTTTGAACTTTTGAAAGTGACAATTTTTGGCAAAATAATCTGCCCTGCCATGCGTTTGGCTTTTGAGATTTTGAAAGTGACAGTTTAAAAAAGCCCTCTTTGGTGTAAATCAGTGTATTTTGAATTTATTTCAGATGGCACCCTTTCCCCCTCCCCACTACCTCACACTAGAGGTACTGTATAAATCAGATAGATACACTAGAGGTTCTATATGAACTAGATAAATGTGCTGTGATATTAGTTAGATGACCAATGGAAATCGAAGAAAAATTGAAATTTCACATCAATCCAACAGAAAAAATAGAAATTTCACACCAATCCAATGGAAAAATAGAAAGTTCACATCAATCCAATGGAAAAAATGGATGATATATAATGGAAATCCATAGTTTTCCACAAGAATTAACAACGAAAGATTTTTAAAGATGTAGATGGTCAGTACAAGTCATGATAAAGCACAAAAAGAAATGTGGGTAGTGGTCTGATCAGGTAGGTTGAGATTGTTATATTATATTATAGTGTATATTATAAAGACATGTTGTGGGGAGTCTAGAACTCTAGTTAGATGATTACTATTTAACCTAGACTCCGTCCTAAAGATTAGGAAGATATTTTATGGTAAAACATTGGGGCTATAAGTTTTATCTTGCTAGCTGTCAAGTTGAGATACTATGGTTAGTAGAAGTTTGGGCCAGTTGATATACATACATATATATTGTATACCATACAGGTCTGAAGACAAGCTTATTACCTTATTGCACACTGCATTATGTTAATGTTTCTTAATATCTTGTAAGTTATGATATGATATTTCATTATTCCTGTAAGATACTGAAGATCTATACCAAATCTTTTCAATAAATCTGTTATTTTTCAGGTAGAAGAGTTGTTCACTGATAAACTAGAATTGTTCACTGATAGACTAGCCCACTACCAACCACCCTCCCCTCCCCCAAACACTGGTACTTTGTTACTGTTAAATACTGGTACCATCTTGGAACTGTCATTGAAACATATCATGTAAGTTTACTTTACATTCTTTTGTCTTCCATCTTACCCCTTGTCAATGAGAATCAGTGCTTTGAGAAAACAAATCATAGTTAACACAAGACAATATTATAGAATACATACGTATAACATTAATAACATTAGGCCCAATTTACACGTTTTAACACAATCTACACGTGATGTCATTAGATGAAACTTGAAGAGGTTAACAATTACCGAACTGTGTAAACATCAATACTTCCCTCTAACGCTTGGTTGGAACACTGTCTTTTTGTGACGGTAGAATAGGTCAGTGGGTAGCGAGTTGGATTGTCGTCTGCTAGGTGTCCAATCCTCCTCATGGTAAGAACAATTCTGATGCCTGTGCCTATGCTTCCAAGAGTCAGCCCGGTGTTGGCTTTCTCCCCCTAATACCTTCTACACACTAACTAAGAATGTAAAATGTTATATAATATTGTCTTGTGTTTGTAATATATATATATATATATATACTCCTCACTTCTTAATCTCGTTCAAGAGACTCAAGTTAATTTGAACATGATATTCTGATAAATTTATACAGATGTATCCATAAGTTAAAAACAGACAATACATTTTCTCAAGTTAAGACGTTTTGAATTGTTTTTATTTACAGGTTGGCTGCTGTCCAAAAGGGTTTCTCTAATTTGTAATATGTAATAATATGTAATATGTATTTAAATTGTAAGGCCAAACAAAAAACTAATCTTTGGTTATAATAATTGCTGTGGGGCCCCTCTCTCACGATCTATCTTTTGAGTGAATAGTTTTACAATAGTACACAATGAAAATGTGTTAACTTGTTTGAGAAAAAGGGGCCCCTGCTACTTAAATGTAATTCAAAGAGCCACAGAAATATTCTGTGTAATTTTAGCCACAAACTTCCAATTTTTAGACAGGAATTTTCCATATAGAGAGGAATAATGGCACAATAAATTGAATGTAGACAAATTTTCTTGAAGGAAATTACAATAAAACCCTTTTGAGTTGGGTATTAATTTTAAAATTATAATCAGAATCGACCTGAACACGTTTACTGTCAGCCCATAATGTTCTTATATAGAACGGAACATTGAACACTGCTAATACAAAATCAATCTTACTCAAGGAAAGAGAACATTGAACATTGCTAATTCAAAATCAGTCCTACTCAAGGAAAGAGAACATTGCTAATTCAAAATCAGTCCTACTCAAGGAAAGAGAACATTGCTAATTCAAAATCAGTCCTACTCAAGGAAAGAGAACATTGGACATTGCCAAAACAATTACGTTGTCAAATGTAATATAGAAAATATAAAATATCTGAAAGGATGTCAATTTTAGGGCTGGCAGTCAACGTGTCAACTTTTTATAACCAAAGATTAGTGTTTTTGTTTGGCCAAATATGTTTGATAGAGGCACATTTCTGTCATAAAGGAGACCTACCACCAAACAATCCATTTAATGTTATATATGCTACAGAAAAGCATAGTTAAATATCTGTATTTAGTTGAATAATACACAGATTTGCACCATAACTTGCTTACATATTTACTGTGAACAAAATTCACAAAGAAAACGAACAAAAGAACTAGAATAATAATGAAAGATTAGAAATCAAGTCTTTCACAGATTGAAATTAAAATTGGCTATGATGGCTAGCCTGTTATTACAAGGCAATTAACAACAGTCTAACTGACTGGACTACAACCCTCCCTTAACACTGTTAAATAAGAAACAGTTTCTGCTGATACTCACATAGTTCAGCTGTTTAAATTAAACTAAGATTTTAATG